GAGGGTTGCAGAGAGAGAGACCCGATCTGAGGTTGAGCTCGAGCCATGGTGAGAAATGGCGCGAGCCAAGAGGGCTTGAGACAGAGTCACAGATGTAGACGAAGTCATGGTTTTTGCCCTGTGGTTCTGGCTATGGCTGAGAGAGATAGACAGAGAGTGAACGAGAGACACTTTGTGGGACCGTTTGAGGCTCTTTGGTTTTATCGGATAGGAGAGCTGGGCTTTGAGCTTCTCGTCTACACAAGAGGACAGGTAGAGATGAACTGACCGTTAGATTCATCACAGATCCAATCTTGGCCGTTGACTGAGGGTAGGAATTAGGAAATGCTCTGCCCTCCGTTAAAATAGTATTAATGAGTTTTGGGTAATGATATGTTTCCAAAATTCTACACTATATTTTTATACTTTAATTTCAAATTTGTTTTAAAAAATATACATATGGAGATTTGAATGAAGTTATGTGAATGTTTTGAAATTATTATGGATGAAATATCAATTTTCAATTTTTTAATTTATATTATTTTTAAAAATATATATTATTTTAATCGCCTTATCGGTGCCGTATCCGTATCCTACTTTTTGGAGATTTGTCGTATCGGTGTATCGTATCGTATCATATCGTATCGCCGTACCCGTATCCGTATCGATGCAACTACAGGATGATCCTGATCATTTTCATCATTTTCAGAAGAGAAATCACTAATTATAGGGGTTGTTTCTACTGTAAGTGTTCCAAAACCTAATGCATCAAGTTGTATTTCAACCCCAATTGGTTTGGCAGCATGGGAGTTGACAAAACTAGGGGTGGTTGCGGTTCGGTAACCGTGAATTTTTCCCCGAATCGCAAACCGACCAACTATATGCGGTAAGGTGATTTTTAAAACCGCAAACCGACCGCTTCAGTTGGTTACCGTGAATTAACGGTTTAAACCGATGCGGATATTTTGAGCCTAAATTAGATAGTTTTAGGTCTTTCAAGTGTAATCTTTTTGTGTCATAAAAATCCAATCTTCCACACTTTTAAGCCTAATTTTGATGCTTCTTTTGAAGCCTTTTGAGTTCAAGCATACTTTAACCCAAAAAGTTAAATTCACAACCTAAAGAAATAAATTCATAACCTCAACTTCTCAAGCATATATAAATTCACAACCTCAACCTCAACTTCTCAAGCATTCTCAACCTAAAGAAAAATCCAATTCAAAGTTAAGTAAAGTTACAAACCAAAAGGAAAATGCAATGCAAAAGGAATTAAAGTTACAACCCAAAGGAAAAATCCAATTCAAAGTTAACTAAAGTTACAAACCAAAAGGAAAATGCAATGCAAAAGGAATTAAAGTTACAACCCAAAGGAAAAATCCAATTCAAAGTTAACTAAAGTTACAAACCAAAAGGAAAATGCAATGCAAAAGGAATTAAAGTTACAACCCAAAGGAAAAATCCAATTCAAAGTTAACTAAAGTTACAAACCAAAAGGAAAATGCAATGCAAAAGGAATTAAAGTTACAACCCAAAGGAAAAATCCAATTCAAAGTTAACTAAAGTTACAAACCAAAAGGAAAATGCAATGCAAAAGGAATTAAAGTTACAACCCAAAGGAAAAATCCAATTCAAAGTTAACTAAAGTTACAAACCAAAAGGAAAATGCAATGCAAAAGGAATTAAAGTTACAACCCAAAGGAAAAATCCAATTCAAAGTTAACTAAAGTTACAAACCAAAAGGAAAATGCAATGCAAAATGAATTAAAGTTACAA